CCAAGGGGGGGGGGGGAGGTGATCGAGACTTGGGGTGTGTATAGTTTCCCGCAGGAGAGAGGGTTCGCAGATTTCGATCTACACTTTGTTTGTGTTTCAGAGGCCCGTGATGCCGCGCAAGCCACACGATATGAGGAGAGAGTGTGCAGTAGACACGAGGCAAGCGGCGAACCTCCAATACGTTGATCGGTCGGCGTCAAGAGTTTGGAGTATACTGTGTGGCTCACAACTGCTTCGCAAGCGCGAGGCCCCTTTTTTTGCCGCCCTGCGGGTCTCTCAAGCATGTATTCTTCCCTTGATTTGAGTGACTTTCCATTCGAAAGATGGGGATGCTCAACGGAAGTTGATTTTTAGGCAAATCTCCTCGTGGTCCCTAAGCGGCTTCGACCCCAGGCTAGCCATTTATACGGTGCTTGTACACATACGTAAAAACAGGTACTATTGCCCACGTGGACTGTGTGTGTGCGGGGTCCCTGACACTTTTGAAGGGCGTCAATTGCTTCCTAGGGTGTGGTAGTTGCTGGGGACGGGCCGAACACAGCCCAATCGCGCCATGGAATAGGAAACGCGGAACATATGTATTATCTCTTGTAACAGGAACGAAGCTGTGTTGTGTTCCATATTGGCAGGAGCACGGCAAGTTTCAGCGGCGTCTGGGGTTACCTTCTAGAGTAGTGCAGGACGGCCGATGGGGTGATTTCTCGCGTCGCGGGCGTTTGGCTGAAGAAAGTGCGTGGTTCAGGCCTTCGGACTGAAAGTGATCATTCGTTCCTATTTTTTTTTACCGTTCTGTAAGACCTCTATAGACCGTATCGGTCTCTTAGAGGAATACAGCTTGGAAGAGGTTCCAATTTCGCGGTCAAACAGCGCGATTATCGTCGTCGTGCTTGAGGGGTTGAATGAAGAACAAGCCATTTTGACGCTGGCTCCATGTTAATCCTTAATCCAAAAAAGAAAGGAAAACAACCTTCCCGTCGTTTAGGTTCTATGAACGCGAAAGGTATCAGTAGAGGACACCATGAAGAGGCGTCCTGTGTGCTGGCACATCCAGGTTTGCTACTGGAGGTGCTATAGTCGCAGGAGTCTCTGAAAGCGGTCCGAACTCTGCGCCTCAACTTGCCGGAACCACCTACTTTTCACAGCCGTGCTCACCGCCCCGGACCTCAAAGCCCTGAACGGAGGGTCCTCAGCAGTAGCTTGTGGCATCAGCTACTGCAGTCAACCCGCAGTTCAGGAGATTGGAGTCTGTGGCGGCGGGCACCAGCAGTACAGGCAGGACACAGGATGTCGGTCACATTTGCGGAGATCTGCCGAGATTGTACGACCCGCGATTTCACCACCCAAGAAGCAGCCTTGAGCGTTTTCCAGGAACCAAATATACGTATTTAGCCGCCAGCAAAATTCTCGTCAACGCTTTCCCGTTCCTTCTTGCGTTCTTACCTTGCAGCCGGAGTGTAAAAATTATCCTGCTTCCTCTGCACTCTAAGTTCGATGCCAAAATTGTACAGCAGTCTTCTTTCTTTATCATTGCAAACCAAGGAGAACCCGCAGACAGCATGGTTTTGTGTTAGCATTGCGCTTCTGTCTCACAAGGTACTTGTCTAATCTATCGTTTATCCGCCCCCAAGCGCGCAGTCCGAGCGTTCTCCGCTGAACCAGCTCCTGCAGCATCAACGAAGGGAATTTTGGCGTGGGAAGAAGTTGGTGCGAGGGCAAGCAAAAGGGCAATACATTGTGATGTAGGCGCAAACGAAATGGTCCAGGCTGGCCTAGGAGGTTGCACCGCCCGCCCCCGTGTACCCCCGAATCTGCATGCACATTCCGCCGCATTCTGGACGTGATCGACCACCATCGACCGCCGGAAGTACTCTTTCACCCGGGAATAAGTGAATATGGGAGGGTTGTGCTTCGCCCACAACGAAATGAATTGTTGGGTACGAAACGGACGTGGAAAATGGCGCTTGTACGAGCTTTGTAAGCTCTGACGGCACCAAAAACGTGGGCACCAACACTTTCGTAGTCAAAGCCAAACCCCCCCAACACTTCAACTTGAAGCGTGGGTGCCTTTGAAGTTCTTTGTACTGACGACACGCATGCCTATCCAAGTTGATAGCTGGGGATGTCATGTAGGCTATAGAGCCCGCGTTTTTCACCCGGACCCGCGCCCAACCTCTGATTAATCCCAACAAGGGGCTTTTGAGCTACCTCAACTTCGTTCAGTGTTTGTTTCAGGAAAATCTCTCCCGAAAGCAAAGGAACGCCCCCCCTCCCACCAACGGCGCTCGTTTCGCGACGATCAGTTTTGGAAGTGCCTCCTTGGTACGTAGAAAAGATCGGTGGCCCGTTCTTAACCAATACGTACGCTTGTTCATTGAACACTGTTAGGCAAACAAATAAATGAGCACTAACGCCACCTGTTCGTACGTCTCCGTCTGCTTCCATCACATGCGCAACAATTCTGGTCTGTATCCAGCAGGAGGCCTTTGGAACGAATGGCGGTTGAAATTCGCACCTGCTTACGACATGCTTCCTGACAATGTTGTACTGCTCACCTGGACGCGCAACGCCGGGTAAAGGATCATGGGATACTTGTGGTGCATGTCTTGGAAGAAGTCAAGGGTCATGATGAGGTCCCCATTCTGGTGAGACTTGTTTATGTCCTCCAGCTGCTGCGAGAACGCCGGCCAGAAGGCGTCGTTCGAGAGGTGGAGGCCCTTCGCAAGCCGGTCCAGCTCACCCACCTCGAGCTCTCCCGCTTCCGTCACCTTGCAGGTGTTGAAGATGAACTCCACCACTTCTTTCTGTCGTTGAGAGGCGGAGGGAGGGGTCATGCAAGTTGTTCGGGGGGGAGATACTTCGCTCAGAACAAGCGGGGGGTGACGGGAACGACGCTGAACGCCGATGGGGTGAGGTATGTGCTTTTCCATGGCCGGACAGCGTTTACGTTCTAAGCAGAGTTGTCGTCGACCCTGCTCTCACCTCCGACATGAGACAGAGGCCAATACACCCAAACACCCACGTGGCGCGGTTCATCTCACCGGCGACAGCGTGGGCATACAATCGGTTGCTCGCCCAAAGAACCTGCAAACACCGAGGGTTACACAGCGTCGGAAATATGGTAGTGTGCTTGTGTCTCGTTTCCGGATTCGAAACACAAGTGTGCAGGTTGTCAAACCCTCGTGTCGACATTCACCTCTCGTGTTACCCTCTTTATGCACCTCCACCACTTTGTCGATGATGGACGGGGGTCGAACCTGGATCACCACACGGCGTAAAGTTTAGCGAGAGTCGGAACGGGCACAACCCTTGCTGTCCTCCTCAATCTTGAGCTGTTCAACAATACTTCCAACCGCGAGCACACCTCTTCCGGAGCGCTCCTACCGATCAAGGACCCAACGCCATCTACGACTTGCCTCTCTCATGAAGAGATACGGGGATATGCCGAGCGCGGCCGTGAACAAGGACACCCGTACCCCCTTGTCGTCGGCCTTCGTCGCCCCAACGAGGGGGCCGGCGTCTCCCGCTTCGTCCTCTTCGATGCGGGCAAGCGCGTTGAACATCACGTCTCGGTACACGTCCACGATGCTCGCTAGGTGAGACTCCTTGATCCCGGCTTTCCTCATCCTCTTGTTTCGAGGCATAATGAGGATGCCGAGGAGCTCTTGCCTAGGCGCCCGGTTTCAGGCAACGAATGTTGTGTGCACGTGGGCAACCACAGCGTAGCAAGATGACGAACAAGCGTGCCCGCTCGTCTGGAGGACACTACGAGTAGTAGATCGTAACGGATACGTTCACCTGTCTTTTTGGGGCCACCATATTCACGAGCAAATCACATCACACGGTAGTTTTTTCACGCGGGAACGAGGCATTGGCTGCTACACCACACACCCTTCTGCTGTTCTCAAAGAATGGCAGCGAGAGTCTCCGTGCGCGCTCGATGAAAAACGCTTCTGAAATATCTATCTGGATGTCTGACGTATGTTAACCTCACCACCCAGTGGACATTCGTTGCACGGGTACCGACACACCCCCGTTGCCAGAACCCGTTCTCGTCGCTGCACAGATTCCCACCCCTCCCCAAGCGCTGATGTCGTTAGTGACCACACCCGTGGGCCTACCTGTCCTCGATGAGCTTTCTCCCGAAGGGGTTGGGACACCTCCAGAAGCCGGTCTTGACGAATTTTCTCTGGGCCGAAAGATGGTTGAGGTCATCGTTTTCCAAGTTTTCGACCGAGTTCGTGCGCAATCCTCGCATCTTCTTGGCTTTCACTCGAGCCACTCTAGTCTCGGGCTGCAACCAGGCCGTCTCCGCTGTTGGGTCAATTCTGTCTTCGCTCTCCTCGTCGTCCTCATCGGGCCCCTTCATCTCCTTTTCTCTCTGCTTGAGCTTTCGCTCATTCTCCTCTGCCTTCTCCCTCGCGACCATTTTTTTTCTAGTCTCCTTGACGATGTGCTTGGTAAGCTTGTGGGTGATTACCACCTGGTTCAGCCCGTTTTGTTTCCGTCGAGTAGCGCCAGATCTGCATCAAACAAAAGGAGAGCAGGAAGTACAGCAAGTCCATAGGTGTAGCCGGTCGTTAGACACGGGAACACACTACGCTGGGCATCGAACTGGTGATAAACACCACGCTGGGCATCGAACCGGTGATGCTTTATGCCAATTTGCCTTGCATTGCTGGCCCAAGGTCCGAGGAACCAAATCGTTACAAGTTCTATAATATCTCGTTTGCGTGGGTCTATTGACGAGATATGTATAAAATACACTCCCTCTGTTCCCCGGTTTAAGGCCGGATCGGACGAACTACTGAGCACACTTCGTAAACTTGCAAGCAAGAGATCAGGAGTCCGTTTCTCGGTCAGAAAACGTTCTTTCTTTCCGTACAAGCACATTTTTTTCTCGAAAAAAGATTTCTTCCCGTCGTTTCTGTTCTCCCGGTCAAAAACAGAGACGAAGGCTTAGCAACTGGAAACGGTGGTCTACTGATAGCTTGCGTAGTCAAGATTATAAAGCAAAAAAAAAGTTGGCATTTTTTTTTGGGGCCGTACGGGAGACAAAAACACAAAAAAAAATCCTGACAATAGTTCCGCTTGCGACCATCGCCGGAGGTAGTTTTCTCAGGGGAGGGGATGATACAAGAATATCCCCGATTTTTTTTTCCAAGCGGAGTGCCTATACTGCTGTCCGAGCATCATGCAAAAAAAATGCCTCAGAAAGGAACACCCACCACCTAAACTACGAACCGGCCTTATATTCATGAATTCTCGAACTGGCCTTACATTGGGGAGAAGAGGGGGCATCATGCTTACCTTTTGTGCTCCTGAATTCAACACATTGACAGTCGGGATAATGTTTTTTTTTCAAAATCGCTAACGAATGGTGCTGTGGAGGTCAGGACACACTTTGCCAAAACTTCGTGCTTTCTCGACTCATGGTCAGAACCGCCGCCGTTTCGGATCACATCGTCGCCTTCTGCTGATGCCCCAGACCCAGCCGCCAGCGCCGGATCTCCCCCCCTGCCAAACAAACACGGCAAGAGAGCAAGGTTAGGGAACATGATTCACGTGTGTGCTAACTGTTTATTCCAACTCTTTCTGGTGACAAGGATATGGTCTAAATAAAAGAGGCCTCGCAAAACATTTCTGGACTTGTACCTGTTTTCTGTGTTGCCTGTGATCTGATGTTCCTTCAATCCTTTGGACGGTGGTAAAGGTCGTGAACACAAATCTGGGGATGAACACCAGACTACATGCGTAAGCGCTTCTTCCACAACGCAAGAAAATCCCCATGTCATCGTTCATGAGGGAAACATGATTGCACAACGCTTGTCACGATATCATGCACCGCAAACAAACTTCTGTAGGCACATGACGATCCCGGATAGAAGATAGCTCCGTGGCGATGTAGCCAACCAACCCCATGTACTTGTAGTCTACACGTTTTTTTTTGGTAAACAATTTGTCCTCACGGAGAAAAGACGGGTCATCACACATAAACGATTGCATTACCGTAGGGCAAGGAGTGAGAAACGTGCGTGCCAACATGCTAATCGAGGTTCAAGACATACACATACATATACGACCTTTTGGAGAATGAGGAACGCCAAGTTCTTCACCCTATCCGCCTAGGGATACCTACGACGAGTGGCATCGTCCTTACAACACGAGGACGTTGGAAAACAAGTTAGTATTCATACCGTCAACAACGCCAGAATGGCGTACGAGACACGCATTTTAGCGCCGACTGGTATCTGGACTCGACTACAGCAGTAGGAGACAACTACCTGACTACAGAACTGCTGGTATATGCTGTTTCGGCTGTACTCCGCATTTTATTGACTATTTACATAAGTTTTCCTCACCCTGCCACAACCACGGCGGTCGTTCTGGTGCTCTTGAGGTTGCGAGAGGGTAACGCTGGCGTGGCTATTTTCGCTTTGTGCTTCTTGTTGTGCTTCTTCTTGTCTGTCCTGCTGATGCCATGTCCATCGTCGTTGTCGTCTTGAGGCATTCGCCATCCCGACTGCGGTGCATTGGCATCCTCAACTGGCATTCGGGTTAAATAGTTGCTGCTGCTGCTGGGTGGCTTTTTAGGCCCTCCTCGAGCCCTACAAGTTCATGCCTGCATAGGTCCCTTCTTTGCTGCCCCTGTTCTCTCTGGGTTGTTCGTTACAGAAACAGAGAGACGATTAGAAAACCCAGCAATCGTGATTGTCGAGCGCGAAGAAGAGCAGGGGCAGCGCAGCAGCGTGCCGACCGCCGACGTCGACGTCGAACCTGATCCCCACCCGAAAAGGTACCGATCTCGCCGCATTCGCGCGCAGATCTCCTACACAGCGACGCTTCGTCCTGCTGTGCTGAACTCACGTGGACCTTGCTACCGTGCTCCCACAGCAGCGAGTGGGGGGTGCTTACAGGTACCCGGGAGGACGCAAAGCACATCAACCGGGGAAATTGCATCGTTTCGTCCCAAGGCCGCAAGACCAGGGGCCAAGGCTTCTGGTTTGCAACAACAACAACGAACGTGTTGCAAATCCTTTTCCAAGGGCAGCAGGCGAGTCCTGAATCCACCCGCCCCCACCGAAAGGGATTGGCTACCCATGGCTGAAGGGAGCAGCAGCGCAGCGCTTGTGACAGGGCTTATCGTGCTGGCCGTGGTCTCCGCGGCTACCGTCACCTTCGTTGGGCACTCTCGTCTTAGAAGCAAGTACCTCTCGTCGAGCAGCGGTCGAGATCCAGCAGGTGACGACAATGCGGGCGCGGAACGCCCTGCCCCTGCTGGGGTAGGGGGGCCAGTTGGTCGGGGAGGAGCAGCAGACGAGGCAGGGGGGGAGCAGGAGGGAGAAGAAAAGGAGGAACCGATGTTGCCTGCTTTGCTCACAGCAACCCCCCGCTGCTGGGAAAATCCGCTTGTTCTCGGCTTCAGAAAGCTGAAGGCCAGGACGACTTTGGGAGCCTTTTCGTCAGTTCAACAAGCGAGGTGAGCTGCTGCTGTGCATGCTTGCAACGCACTTCGGAAGCATGGCTATGCATACAAGTGTGGATTGGTACATAGCATGCATAGGATCCAAAGAAAGAGTACCTGTCCGAGCATATTTGTATCTAGCGCCCGGACATTGCAGCCCGAAAGAAATTGCCGGTGCTGGATACATGCGCGAGCATTGCCAACTGCTCAGACACGCAACTCCGTGCCTTGTTGTTTCCACCCAGGAGTTGCTCCCCGTTTTACTGCCGTGGCAACAGCAGCACGAGAAAGAGTCTTTGAGCAAAAGGCTCTGCAATCTTCTCAACCATTATCGGGGGTTTTTTGTTTGCTAGGGACGTCATTTCTTGAGTCTCCGGCGTTCTCGACCCCAAAGCATCTCCTATCTCCTATATGCATGAAGCAGTCGTGTCTCGCTTGTCAAGTCGTTCTGTTTCGTGTGTTTCTTGTTCTTTTTTCGATGGTGAGACACTGCACGTAAGAAGTTGAGACTTCCTTGCTGCTGTGTAGCAATCTCGTTCATGTGTGCGCCTTGCCAGATGAGACAACCGTTGCGTGACCTACAACATATGTAGGGTATCAATAACCTGTGATGACTGTCCCGACCGTGTGCGTCGTTCGACGCATGGTTAAGCTCCCATCCCGAGAAAAACAAATGGGGTAATCCCAACGCGTTCCCACCGACTTTCACCCTTGCTTGCGCTCACGGCTTGTATTGTTGTTCTTTAACGAATCATTTCTATCCACAGGCAAGTGGACTGGATAGATTTGCGATACAACAATGACCAAGCCTTGTTTACTACTAAAAAACGCGTCTGTCTATCCTTGTACATAGTGGTTGAGTAAATTATCGGTGGCTTTGTAATTTATCGGGGGGTGACGACCGGGAGTCCTTTGTCGGTGATGACCGGGGGCCATCTATCGCCGGCGTGAGGAAGGTTTCGTACACTGTTTCACGTTTTTCACGCGTTCCACGCGACCCTCTGGTCCTCCCAACAGTGCCACACACGATCCAAAAACTACTACTGCTGTAGTCTATGGATAGAGTATTTCGTGTTTGTCATCGATCCCCTGGTTTGCACGCAAAACACTTCAAAGGGGACCGCAAGAAGCGGCCTGTGGGTCGATCTCACCAATCCAAATCACACTTGACCGCTGATTGTGTGTGTGCGACGGAATGGTGGTATGTTCCACCCTCGTCTGTATACAACCACTGAGCATGTCTACACCAACCAACCTGGGCTGATGCGTCGGAACGCGACTGTCTAACCGCATCCTCATGCAATTTCGAAACACACCGAAGCAGCAAGCGAAGCAGATACCCAGCTACCACCGGACCGTCGGTTTTGGTTTGTCCGTTGGCTCTCATTGCATGGCTCTGTCTCCAATGTCTATCTTTTGTCGTTAACAGGGCAAACACGGAGCTCCCAGAAGCTTCCAAAAACGTCCTGAGCCTCGACGGCACCTGGAGGTTCGCCCTGCACTCCTGCCCGGAGCACGCGCTGGCCTCCAGATTTTTCTCTCGAAATTTCCGGGAGGCTGCTGCGGGAGGCCTCCTGGAACGTGGTGGAAGCGGCGTTTCCTCGGAGGGGGGAGGGGGAGGAAGCGGCGACGTGCGCGGGGCGGACGGCCGCTGGAGGGACACTCCGGTTCCTAGCTGCTGGCAGATGCAGGCAAGACGGGCATCCGGACGGAGGTGGTGGTCATGGTTGGGCATCCGGTCTTGGTCATGGTTGACTTTGCTCGGTTCGTTTGCGTGGCGGTGTTGTTGTTCTTGCTGCTGCCGCTGCTGTTGCCCATGTTGTTTTTATTGTGGGCGTTCGTCCTAGGACGACGGTATGCTGGTCACGCGGCCACGAGAAGAGCTATTTCCTGCATGCAAAGCCGTCGCTTGCACGGACGCTAGCCCGACCACCCAGAGTCCCCCTCACAAGCTGTGTGCATCTGAAAACTGACTCTTTGTGCGAGATTGACCCGCCGACCACAAACATATCATTGAAGATATCAAAATGAGCGGGAAACAGCCACACAAATCTACAGTACAACTCCAACGGTTGAAATTAAACAAATTTGAAAACAAAACTGTGGTGCGTGTACATGTACAACAGTCCTATAGCTGTACATACTCTATATTCAAGTCGCCTAATACAGCAGCGAAGTACTTTCTAAAATCAGCAAGATGGCAAACGACATTGCGCCATGTTCCCTGTGAAGGCCACATTCCACATAAAATTAAGAATGTATCCGCCTATACAGATGCTCTTGTTCTTAGCTCCAACTGGCATCATTGATAACTCAGTGTTAGGCTTACACAAACTCAAAATAAGCCAAGTCTCCAGTTGGTTTCAATCCACTTGCTGAAAAGACTTCACCACATCCCTTTCGACTGAGGTTATATCTCGAACGGGAACGGGTAGTCTTTCTGTGAGGTTATGTTTAGACTACACTTTCTAAAAACTCTCGCGAGTACGGTGCTCCGCTCCTGAAATGCGATGGGCACCTGCCTATAATAGTGCCTTCGACAACCTGTTCGGGGATTCGAACGAACGAATGCTACAACGGGCCTTTGGCGCAGAATGCAACAGTTCCACGCGCGAAGTGTCTCCCTCAAAACCCGTTCGTTCTTTTTTCCGCTCCTTCTTTGTCTCCCCATTAGCCGTCGCGACGGCCCCGTCCACACCGCCCGACAACTGCAGTTGACGCAAAACACGCCTCCCCCGTCACGCCCCCGGTTGATCCCGGTAGATAGGATAGGAAAAAAAAATATGAGCCACCTTTGGCACGACAGGAAAGAACGATTGGCCATCGGCGGTCCTTTCTGTTGGATTGCCCCTCTCTAGGAACCGTGGTCAACGATCTAACAACCAATGCATGCAAGCCATGCGTACGCTCCCCGCCCCCCCGGCACGCCCCCGCTCCTCGCACCTCGTAGGGATACGACGTGCCCATCTACACCAACATACAGTACCCTTTTCCGGTCAACCCTCCCACCGTCCCCTCCGACAACCCAACGGGATGCTACCGCCTCGAGTTCTCCCTCCCCGATGCCTGGGGAACCTCCGGCGGCGGCGGGGGCGGCGGCGGGAGGACGGCGGTGGAGCAGAGGAGGGTTATCTTGCACTTTGCGGGTGTCGACAGCGCGTTTTTCGCCTGGGTAAACGGGCACTTGGTGAGCGGATGGAGGGAAAAGCTTTGGCGCTGTGAAGTTAAGATTAATGTTTGCCTTCTTTTTTTTTCTCGGCGCTAACGCTTTCGGGCGTGAGTGCTGTTTTGTCGCCCCTGGGAACCATGCAAATGGCGACGGATCCCCGGTTTGAGAGTACATGCGCAGTGGGTACGAGGGGGCTTGAGGGAGAAGCTGGACTTTTTTTTCCCTTGTGTACTGCGAAAACACAAGAATTGCTGCGATGGGTGAAGGCCGAGGTAACCACAGCGGTGCAATCTCCTGGGTCGATCGGTCGGAGGGCGACAATTCGACCGAGCTGAGGAAAAATATGTTATAAACAACGGCATGATTGTATGACGCATGCATATTCACCCATCACACGGTTCTTGATGACATCAGATTTGACTCTCAGCAATTTACTCCAAGTAAAATGAGAGCGTTTGCATCTACGGCCCTGACCCGACGCACACAAACCCAGGTGGGATTCTCGAAGGACAGCCGTCTACCGGCGGAGTTCGAGGTGACGGAGCGAGTGCTCTACGGTTCCTCAGCCAAGAACGTGCTGTCGGTGATGGTGCTGCGCTGGAGCGACGCCTCGTACTTGGAGGACCAGGTGCGCCCCTCCTGCCGCGGAAATTTGAGGAAGGAGGCATAGGGCGTTTGTTCCTTTCTTGATTGAGGCTTGCTTTATGGTATTATTTTTTAGTTTAGAAAGTATTCTTACAGCCACAGCACGACTTGCCCGTTGCAGATGACACCGTGGCGGGGATGTGCTGAAGTCTGTGCAATGACTGAGGGTTAAACTTTTGGGGGGGTGACGGAGGGTTGGTGGGCTAGCGTCTTTGTCCCCCGGTCGTGCTCGAGCGTAACGCTCCCGTGTGCTGTGAATCAAGTACCCAGCATCGCAGAGACAACCGCAACTGCTCTTGGTAGGGGGGGCGTGTCGTGTTGTCATAAAACATAGAAGTATCTCTCAACCTGTCTTTTCATTTTCTCAACTCCTGTCTCTGTCTCCCTCTTTCGCCCTCCTCCTCCCCCCCCCGACACGATATTTCAATGTTGTCTGCGTGTCCCCCTGTATTGCTTGCGTGGTGGGGGCTTGGATCGACAGGACCACTGGTGGCTCAGCGGAATCCACCGCAGCGTGCGGCTCGTGAGCCTGCCTAAGTTCTGCTCCCTCTCCGACTTCTCCTGGCACGTGAGCAGGGTCCCGACTATGAGCGAAAGAGGGGAAGAGATAGACAGAGAGAGACAGACAGACAGACAGAGAAGAGAGAGAGAGAGAGAGAGAGAGAGAGAGAGGGAGGGAGAAAGGAACGAGAAGGGGGGGAGGGAGGGAGGGAGAGATACAGCACTACTTTAGTGACCCCCATGAAATGCCGCTACTATAATAGGTGTCAGGACTCTTTATCCACAACCAATACGCGAGCGCCGGCATCGTTCAAGCGTGCTAAAGACAGCAACAAAGTCTGTGTTCTGTGACTGACGGTTTCACCGGCACTTTCTTTCCGGGCATCGGCCTCTTGTTCTCATAGGCACTATAATAGCTACGGTGTTCACTTTTCGGCCGTGGTATCCGACCGACAACCGGCCTTGCCTTCTCGGCCCTTTCGGCTTGGTCTTCATTTCTAGGTTTTGGTGTTGGAAAATTAGTACAATGTATCGATTAGAGATCTCCACACGCGTCATCAGTGCTCTCCAGTCAGAGTGGGCTACATGAAGAACGAAGATTTTTAGTCTCGTCTCTCGTCTCTCGTCTCTCGTCTCTGCTTCGCTGCATCTCAACGCACTGCTCCAATCCCGCCCGCCGCCCTCAGCTGTTCACTGCTGCTGCTGCTGCTGCTGCTGTTTGCACTTCCCTCCCCGCGGAACCAAAACACGAAAAAAAAAACACCAACGCCGCCACAACCACGACTACCGAAGGCGGTATTTTCTGCGCCGCCTCACGCCAACGAGGACATCGACGAGGCGCGTCTGAGCATCCGGTGCTTGGTCGACCGGGCCCCCGACCCCACCCCTTCCCCCGGCGGTGCCCCCGCGGTTCAAATCCGAGCGCACCTCTTCGAGGAAGGGGTTATGGCCGCGCCGTCGACTGCTGCCGTGCTACCTAGCCGTGGCCAGGAGGGGGCTGGGATGGACCGAGGGGGGCCCCGTATGGGGGTGGTGGGTGAGGGGGGTAGTGGGAGGGGGGAACCGGTGGCGCGGGCCTCCTGCACGACAAGCGGGATGTACGTCGGTCTGTATCTCAAGGTAGGGGGGGGAGGGGGGGGGAGGGGTGCTCATGTATCGCATGCCGTGGTCGTTGGATCATTGGCCTCGCATCCCTGCAGTGCCAGGACGGAGCGATATGCGGGAGCTTAGGCGTCGTTTCACAGGGATGAACAGAAGATGGTCGTTGTCCTTGCGGGCCAGGGGGCGAGGAGGTTTTTTCGGTGGAGGATTTTGTTTTGGTACCACCATGGTATGTAGAAGGCTATATATGGAGTTCCTGCTGGCCTCAGAGAGATATTTCGATTAATTCGGCTGAAACCTCATCCACCAATGTTTGGAGGTATGTGGTTGGTGTAAGTTGGCATTTGACATTCGCCTTCGAGCCGCTCTCACCGAAACGCTTTTTTTTTCTTGTAGTCCGACTGCTATGTGTCCCTGTGGCGGATCTTCTCCAAAGACCACGGCCACGCCCCCCCCTGTGTATACCCCCCCCACCCTCCGTGGAACCATGCCATGGCACCCCTTGCGATGATGTCGACTGCCGATTCATCCTCATGGTGTTTAGTTGTCTTCATTTTTCTCGTGTTTTTTCGGTCGAATTGCTCGCAAGGTCCCCCGACCGCAGTTGTGGACGGCGGAGCGGCCTCACCTCTACACCCTAGTGGTGTCGATGCACCGGGTGGGCCCTCACGGGGAGGTCAACGAGGAGGAAGCGCCGCTGCAGTGCGAGAGCTCGCGCGTGGGTTTCCGGAAGGTGGGTGGCGGAGGCGGGGGGGGTGTACTCATAGTCGTGCATGCCGTAGTCGTTAGACCATTGACCTCGCATCCCTACAAAGCCGGGACGGAGCACGCCGGGTTCTCACCGGACCAGGCTCTCACATCACCAAGCGCGAAGCGCCGTGAGATATTCGGCGAGTCGCATGAAGGGTGCGCTGCATCCTGCTAAGGGTTTTCGGCATCTTGTGCTTACTTCCTTGCGTACGGATGACAGCTGCGTATGAATTACTTTATTTTCTGGTGCTTTCACTTCCAGAGACAGTTACAAGCACGGTGTAGCTGCTCGAGGGTGCTTGACCATTTTAACACAACATGGTGCGATCATCCCCCTTGCGCGGAGTGAGGGTTCTCCACCCCGCACAACCTGATCTACTCGACTACCCATTATAGTTACCGCCAAAAAAAAAACAGAGGTAAGAAAAAAAACGGCAACCTGGTTGCCGAGTTCACGAAGTGAATTGGCTTGTTT